CAAGGTTCAAATCAAGAAGTATACGTGTATATACGTACATATATTTATATGTAAAGCACACTAAGTCCTTCCCGGGGGTGGGCAATCCAGCGTCGGGGATGCTGCGGGTTTTTTGGCGATATTCTCTCGGCGGATTCCCTGGATTCTCTGCAGTGGGCACAGGCACTCCAGTCACTGCAAGCCATTCTCTGTAGGATTGACACTCCCAGGATACTTTGTGGGATTGCCTGCAAGGCTTTTCTGACGGCCACTCCGAAGGTGCTCAAAGAGCGGGATGCCTTCAGCGGGAGTGTCTAGGAACACCTCAGGGTATGTTAGACTCCGGCGCGGAGAATCACTGAGTTAGACCAGACACCCCCACAACGATAACGAATGAAAGCTTGCTTAACTTTCTATCTTGACGATTTGTCTTGGTCTTAGATTATTCCTTTGTCCTTGTCGACAAACTTCGATGTGCTTTTAATCATGTGTCATTGTCTAACTCAGTTTATCAGATCTTGTGCGTACAATCAGTCTGGTTGGAGTATAAACGCATCATATCTTCTGTCAAAAAAGACATTCTGCAAACTACTGTAAGAACACACGATAACACCTTGCACTTATGCGTGCACAGTATGCAAGCTAGAACTGTTTCAAAGAACTGCGCAAACAACACCCAGAACTGACGACAGCATATCATACCGGATCATGACCTGAGCCGAATCTGCATGTAGCCTAGTTGTTTCTTTCCCGAGCACTTCGCCAGAATGGAAACAACATCGACTGTTGACCATATTGGATAAACAAACACGTCTGCAGATCATAGAACTGATACACCGATCATGCAATATCAGAAGCATCAACTGGATCCGTACTTATATCACAGTCAGGAGAACACCACAAATAAATCCTGAGACCTAAACCGAGGGCCAGGATATTCCTGGCATAAGCCACCCCTATATAGATGGAAGCTACCGCTTTGGGTGAGTAACTCCACTAGCCCTCGCTAGATTGTGTGACGCGGCAAGCACTGATGCTCGGCTGCAACACAAGTCTCCATCCCCAACGCAGAGTGCCAGACAAGACCTCGCGCCATGGGCCAGCGCCCAGCAGTCTGTCTGCGATCCAGCCCTGCAAAGAAAGGCACACAGATGAAAACTCTGTTCTCCAAATAAGTGACGAGCAGGCCGCATCCTCCAACCCATATGAACATGTGAACTACCACACTGCTACACCAACCGCTGGCATCTTCGACTGTGCGCGGCTCTGTCTGCACGGGATCGGGAAGGCACTGGTTCCCAGAAGCGGCAGGATTTGTTACAAACTGTGCTGCTGATTCATATGACATTTGTTTTCTTCTTCAGGAAGTTCATTCAACTGGCTTGAAACGCCGCTCACTGTTGATTCCGACGGGAGGAGTGCCGACAATTTGCACACGTCATTTGCAATTCCAAAGTAGTACGCGGAAGGACGTGCGCAGCTCCAGTGCCTAAGTAAAAAAAAGTTAAGCTGTAAACAATCTGCTCCACGACGTGGCTTGCTCTTCACATCTTGTCTACAGTCTACAGATTGGCTTCGTCAAGTCTTTTTAGTTTCCCCCCAGACTCCCCCTTATGCCATCTCTAAAAAAACATCCATGAAAAAGAATCCTTGGGTCCCTTCATAGTTAACAGGGATAGCCTGGAAGGAGCCCGTTTTCAAGTCCCGTGACTGGCAAGGTTGCACTTGAGCTGCCGCCGAGCTCGCGCTGTTTGCATGTTAAGCATCATCTTTGCTGATCATACTGCAGTCCCGATGTCGCATGCACAGTGCGACGTCACACGACATGGATTCACCCATGATTCCCCCACGTCTCTTACTGAGACCTCATGAAGCGGGAGGTTGACGTTCATGACGAAAACGCTGCGAGGGCGGCAATGTCTCTCCTGGTAGCAACAGCTGATGCTTCGGGATTCCTGGAGCATCGAAGAATGAGCAACACATCTTCGCATCCAAGCTTCCAGGATATACCATTCTTCGATGGCCGGCCCACCGGTATCAATGATGGCAAGCTCCAGAGTCCTTCATGCAGATACGACACTGTTGGATGTGGCGAGGTGTGTAGATGCTATATCAGGGTATTTCAGCGCATAGCGAAGCACAATGGCATCGCCAGAGACTTTGAGATGGAAAGAGAGGCAAGGCTTGCCAATTGCATAGGCCTGTCGACCAGCTCGGCGCAAATCTCTTGCAGCGCGCTCTCGTTCCGCTTTGGCTGCGGGCACCGGAAGCAGTCCTGCCACGAGCATGATTGCTGGCACCTCATGCTGGGAGGACGAACACCCGCACTTTTGGGATCTTGGGGCAGTCGGTCCAGCACATCAAAGGGTCCGGTCTTGGAACGCCCGCAGCCCCTGCCGCTGCGAGAGATGGAGGAGCTTGGGAATATTTCGAACTTTCTTGCGCGAAACGCACGTCGGCAACAGACCGCGAGCCGCCTTGGGCAGAGCTCGCTCGAATATGCAGAGCCATGCACCGCAATCAGCTTTGGCACAGAGTCCTGCAAACTTTGACAGCACATGGCTCTCCAGCAGCCGTGCGCCGTGTGACGTGTGAATGATCTTTCAGCTGCCTGCAAGTGCCGCCGCAGGCGCGAGGTGAGGGGCAGCGGTCGTGCAGACAGGCGGTGGGCCTCCAAGCGTGCCTGTGCCTCAAAGCTCAAACGATGCTCGCTTTGGCAGACAGCATAATGGTGGGGCTGGGTGTCTGTGGTCAGTGAGTGGCGGCTGTCGAAGGATCTTTTCAGGTGATCCAAGCAACACTCAACAGCAAAACCGAGAGCCCACTAACCGTTCCTGACCTTTCCTCAATTCACTGAGTGGCTGGCAGCTCGCCCAGAAAATTATCCTCGGCGCAGGTTGCGCGATCTTCTGCAATACAAGTTTGCTGACCACTGGTTTTTGGCAAAACGAGCTATGTGAAACTCGATTTCGGACTTCGGACTGGTCTCGACAACTTTGCCCTGTCCATCGAAGCTCAGCACCACCGGAGGCTTCTCCTGCGGCAAACAACAGCCGCTTCTTTCCGCTCCTACATAGAAACGCCATGAAACGCCACCCTTGAGCTATCTTGAGCTCCTGCCACTGACGCCTCGGAGGCCTGGAGCAGGGCAGCGCGTTCACATCCTCCACAGCCTCAGCATGATACCACAGTCAGTGCGCTTGGCCACAACAACACGGACCTAAAGGATTTTCGGCACATATCCGAAACCTGCGGAAATGGGAGCGTGGGACTGTTTTACCCGATGAAAAAGAAACAAAAGCAAAGTGCGGAAGAGCTAGCGTTCCCGCCATGCAGAAGTTTTGCATCGGCATGCAATGCACTGACGCTGCAGTGGCATCAGCAACTTCGTTGTGGCAATAAGATGCACTGCTGGAGATGATGCACCTGAAGGCAGCCAAGCTGCTTGCATAGCCCGTGCAAATCCATCAGCAAACCTGCCGAAGGCCACTGTTTCGATCATGCATGGAGGAGCTTTTCGTCGCGCATCTTCCGTGCCTCTTTGCCAGAAAGCCACCACCGATGTAAAGCTCAACAGCGAAGGAGTCCCGCGGCTGGCACTTGAAAGTCAGCCACGCTATACACCAGGCGGCGCTCGCAAGGGTCTGCAAGTTCAGGTCAGGAACGAGGTCCTAGCAGAAATGACTTTGGCCGCCCCTCCCCTGCTCGCACCCCTCTCCTGCACAATCTCTGGAGACGTATCCAAGGCTGGGTGGTTCCTTACTTTGGTGCAGGACAAGGAGGCATCTAGGATGGGCAAGGCTACAGCAAGCATCTGCTTTGTAATGCATTTCGTTTACACAAAGTTATACAGGTGATTGCTTTGATCGGCTCGGCACAAAGCACCGATCAACCCAATGAGCAAAACTGCCAAGCTGGAACAACACCTGACCTGGAAAACTTCAAATGTCGTTGCCAATGCTCTGAGCAGTACAGCCATAGGCTGTACTGCTCAGAGCATTGGCAACGACATTTGAAGTTTTCCAGGTCAGCCATAAGGTTGGTACATCCCCAGACTTGGATCAAGGTCAACACTGGCATGGAAGAGAGTCCGACTCTTTTCAACCCCCGTCTCGGAATGGAATGCTGAAACTGAGCTATAGCGTCGACCAGGCAGCAAGCCTCCCACCAATGTCTGTTTCCCAGGAATCCTTCAACAGAGGTAACATGGTCAGAAGAATAAGGTACAACCAGTTTGTATCATCTTAAGGCTCATCTCAGACCTCATAAACTACACTCCCGTGGAAATCCTCCACACAGCTCTTCAGCAGAGCTGTCATATTCTCTCGTCGTCGCTCTGACTCCAACCTTGCCAAGCTAACATTTTGAGCACGTTAATTACCTCTGATTAGAAGCACCATGAAGAAGCTAAGCAATGCATGCCACAGCACGGCTGGTTACTGGCATTCTGCAACGGCGCCCCCAAAAGCTCTCCAAACTACGCATCATGCGACATACTGCACAACAACCGTCAGATTGTCAGATGATTCACGGAACTGGCCACCGGTGCTGTGCAGCGCATGCGTCCCGAGACTACAGCACGCTCACTCTGCCTTTTAAGGTTGCGCAGTGGCTGCCTTCCATCGATCATTCTGAATGCCTTTTTGCCGGGCGCTGCTTCCAGGGCAGCAGGGTTTTGCTGTTGCTTCCGGGTGACGGCAGAGCTGGCGTCCCCACAGGCAGAACCAGCAGAAGCCCCCAGCGCAAGCATCCATGGGTTGACATGAGCTCATGTTGCGGCTATGCCCTCTTCACTGCCAAGCAGAAAAAAGGACCAGGTTGAGAGTGTGCCTGCTTGCTTGCAATGCTAGCCTACGAATGGACAACTTCAGCTGTTGCAATTCTCAACAAGCATCAGACACATGCCCCAGTCGCTTGAAGCTTGGATTGTGCAAAATGCGCTGCAATGATCCCACGAGCCACTGCGCCGTCTTTACCATGCATACTTTGCAAGATGACTGAAATGCCTTATGTGCTGCCGCCTCGTTTGGGGTAAGCCGCCATCGTTTTTTGGCAGCCTAGCAGAGTCACGCGTGCTGCATGAACAGCTGAATTGTGAAAAGAATTTGATGTCAGAAGAAAGCACACGTCCTCAACAACCAGCTTCGTGCCTTCTCCAATTGAGGCGAACGAAAAACAACAACGAGACCTTGCACGACGCTCAACATCTCCACGAAGACCTAGGCATGAAAGCACATGCCAAGGGACTGAATTCCAAATACGGGCTTCTCTGACTTAACTGCCAGAGCACTGATGAGCAGGAGAAATGTCAACCGTGTCACCGCGAGATGTTCACAAGTGCATGCAGATATGCAACTGAATTTGCCGACTTCGAAAACAAGCTCAACCAAACTGCTGCAACTCTTGATTCCCAGTAAACTTCCCGACTTGCGCCGACTTGACTGCTTTACATTCTTAACATACTGGCCCCATCGCTTTGAGGTGGCGGCACGGGCCAACTCACGGTCCCCGCGTGCGACCTCCTTCAGCAGCTTTGAGCATTGCCACAATGGCTTTGCTGGCACAAAAGGACACACGATCAACAAAGTCCGACTTGCAACACCCACAAGTACAACTCCAGAGCACAGACAATGCGCAATACAGAATGCAACCAGGACGCTCCTTCAGCACCACCTTCTTCCTAGGCATGCAATCTGATTAAGAAGCGGCGGCATGCTGACAAAGCTGTCCCACAAACTCCAAGGTCTACCCGACTCACATCGACAAAAATAGCGCCCTCGGAGCTAAAAAGGATGCGACAAAGCAATGTGAGCATGATGTCGGTCAGTTGCAAAAGACTGTGCAATGCCAAGTGTGTTTCTATGTTCTGCTCCGAGAATCTGCTCCTCGCCTGTCACGCGAGACTTTGCCCTGTCCTTGTTCTCCACGCCGAGCCTCAACCGCAGAAACAGCAATGGAATCAACACACGGTTTCGGTATGCCGATCGCACGTTTCCCAAGCCCACCCTGTCTACAAATGATTCTCACAAATCCTTTGGCCATCGCAACTTAGCATGAAACTCTGTGAAAGCAAAATGTCGGCGAGTCTTCTCCCAAGATGTGCAGTCCACATGCAGCTGCATTTAGGTACCTTTTTGTGTTGCCAGCTATCTTGCAATGTATGTAGCGTAACATGTGGTGCCCATCTTGTGCCTGCGTAAGGAAGCCTTCTGTCGGCAGCACAAGTCCATGTCCAACATCGATAAGTCTAAATCGCACACAACCATTGGCCGATGTTGGAAAGTGGATGCACCTCCCACTACTGAAACTACTGCACTGGTCCCACTGCATAGCCACGTGACTGAAAAGACGGGGGTATCTCCACGTCCAGGCGGCTGCACCTTCACACCAGCACATTTTAAGAATTTGTGCTTGTAAACATGTGAACAACACGCGGCCTACCTGGAATTCAAAGCGTTTTCTGTGCTGCTTTTCAATCCGGCGACCAAAGCGGCCACATCCTGCAACGATGCGAGCAGAAAACATGAGCGCACGAAGGGTGGCTTATCCGCACCCACATGAAATCTATGTCCGGATTGCTGTTGCAAATCCCTACCCTTTTGTGCACGGGGTCGCGTGCCTTAGGCACCTCCAATTTGGACTTGTCCTCTTCGCCACCAAAAAGACTTCCTGGTCTCATCGCGCGTTCTGATATGACTCCAACATCCCTGCCCTAAGCAGACTTTGCAAAAGGAACTCTGTTGAAGACGCGGTTGCCGCACACACGCACTAGCTTTGCAATCTCATGTAAAGGGCAAACATACAGCACGAACTTCATGATTTTAAAAAATATCCCGGATTTCCAAGCAGGTTGCACGGTTGTTGTCATCTGCCTCTTCATTGGCCATCCACCATCCAATGACAAGAAAACTGGGCCGATGCCATAAAAAATCACACACAGATAGCATGTTCATCATGCAAAACTACGTGAATGGTTGACGTCTTTCTGTCATGCACAGGAACAATGTGGTTCTGGGATGTTCCACTTGATACTTAAAATTGAGAGGCGTCGAAAATTCGAGCAATGTGGTGTTGTGGAAATCGCTGTCGCAGAAGGCACTGAAAGAGAACCCGATGATGTGGACGAAGAATCATCCGAACTTCTAGTTCCAAGCGCTGGGGACGAGAAGTCGATGTTGTTTCTTGGGCCTTCGGCCTTCTAGCCTTGTCTTGTGCGATGTGTCCCGTGCCATCACCGGCCAAGACATCATACTTCCCACTCGCAACGGCTGCGTTTGCTTGTCTAAGACCCATGGGTTGCGTAAGATTTTCCAGAGGTTGTCCGTCGCCACAAAAAGAATCATGTGGGATCGGCACCGCTCAAGTACACTACAAAAACCAAGCTCTGCTTTCGAAACGGGCAGCGTTCGAGGCCAGATCGGGGCCTGACGATACCCAGAGGAGGACAATGCTTGCGCGGGACATATCTCACATAAACAAGAAGAGATCGTGTCGGGAATGATAGCCCCGAGGGAAAGGCTCATCCCGAAACACACTGGTTCATAGCTGAAGCTGAAAACTCAAAATGAATTAGCATGACTGCACAAAAGTCTCGACATGACTGCACAAAGAATTGCAACATGACATCTCAAGAACTGGGTTTATCACTCACACTCCACTCTACCTTGAATGCAGTCGTGTTGAAAATTGGGAGATCCCGACTATGATGCGGGTACGTTTTCACAGATATCGTCAGAGGTCTTCGTTTGGCCGCGGCTCTGATGACAGTTTGCTTGGCTACTTGGGCATGACACCATCCCAGCTTGCTGTACACACAATGCACACCAGAATCCAGCCTATGTTGAAAGCTGCGCGATGTACTTTGCCCTGACCTGCCAAAAGTTCCAGGCTGTCCAGCTTTAAGAAAACAATGTAACCAACACAGGCAATATCCCAAAAACAGGAGGTATGGACGTATCGAAAGGAAAGCGCAGCACCAGGCAGCAAGCCTGTCATGTTGCCAAATTCCACACCACCAATGCGAAAACTCTCAGACAACAAACTCACGGACAAGAGAGTGCCACAGAGTGCAACATTCGTCACATCCTGGCCTGAATTGGATGAGCAGCAAACACAATGTCAGCAGCTGCCACCGCCTTCTGGCACACAAAGCAGAATATAGGTCCAAGCTTTGCAATGTCTGGACACATTTCGGTGCCAGCACGTGTTGCTGCTTTGGGATGACTAAGCCTGCAAGTGCCTGCAGACAAAATGATGACATGAACATAAATGAACGTTTACGTCTTGAGTGTTCAGTCCCTAGCCTTGCACGCTGCAGAACAAACTCCAACATGGAGTGGGATGACAGGAACAACCATGTCAAGGACAAGATGTGAGACAGGGAAGGCAATCAAGCCTGTGCTCCATCAGCTTAATATCAGCGTGTCTCACAAGAGTCATCAAGTTCCCGGCTTGTGTGTTGCCACGCGACGCCGCCATGGCGAGATCATTAACATTGCCAGTTGGCTGGAGACTTGGTACTTGAACTTCTGTTATAGGAACTAACACTGCTTCTGCGGCGAAACCCCACATAAGCCAAGACAACAAACAACCTGGACTCATGCCTTGAGATGCTTGCAGAAGCTAATCCAGCCACAATGTTTGGAGTCATTGTGGCAAACAGAGCTGTAGCACACTTGCACTAAATCTGCAGCACCCTTGCACACAAACAAGATGCAGGGTCTCGTTTTCGACACATGTGTACGGATTGCATGCGCTCGCTTAGCTCTAGCAACTCTTCTTGAGCACTCATCTTGTCTGCCACGTAATCGAGCTACACGCACACAATCGTGGCTTCCTCGCGCTTGTGACCCAGCATGCCGTAAGCCACACCATGGAGAAACACTAGCGCTTGTCGGTCGCTCCGTCCCCGACGCATCTTCCGAGGAAAGACTCTATGCTCATTCCCGGACTGTCTGACTCAGGTAATCGTGTTCGGTGAGCGTACACCGGACACATGGCGCTTGGTCTCTGCAACATCGACGGGTTTGTCCCAGGTTCTCCAGAGCTGCCATGCTTGGGCGGTTCCAGACAAATCCACCCTAAAGGGCAGCCTTGCCACCGTAGAGCTGCGAGACGTTGGACACCACAGAATACCACAAAAACAGGAGCAGTCATCAGCTGCGACATCACCGGGAGGTTTTTGTCGTATTTCCAGGCGGAATTACCGATCCGCAGCGCTCGGCCCCAGAAGCCTGTCCAGCTCATCCATGCTTGAGATGTGCAGCCGCAAGGCAGCGCTTGGAGGCACGGGTGGCAGCGCAGCGCAGTTCCAGTGATGGACCATCCACTCGAACAAGTACTGCCAAGCCAGAGATGGCGCGTGACTCCGGCAAGCTTCCGGGAAGCAGACACCCAAAGCCTCAAAGATGCTGAACTGAGAATCAGAAACTTTTCCCAGCATCTGCAGTAAGTTTCCGTGCTCCTTCTTGCTCCAGCCATTCTGCTGAGGCGTGTCCAAACAATGCGGTATTCCAGTCTCCACAACAGCATATTCCCCACCTGCTTGCAAGCATGCTTGTGCTTGAATAAACAGCTGTTGATTGCCTTCAGCCAATGCCACGCCAGACAGCTCCACAAAGTTTTGGAGGAAGACGGACTCGCACCATGACAGCAGATCATCATCCTCTGCCAGGGTCCCTGAGTCCCATGAGACGACGTCGTCCGACTCGTTCGCATCTTGCACAACTTTGAGCAAAAGGGCTGCAAGGAGGTTAAATGTGTCATCCGCAGAACCCAGATGCATAGTTGACGCCACGTCCCACTCCGAGCTGTCAAGTGAGAGGCCCGTCGTCGTAAAGGCCACGGCGTCGATTGAGTGCTGCATTGGCTTGGACGGAATCGGGCAGACGTAGGAGAAGGACTCACAAAAGCCACTGCAAACAGCCCGACTTCTAACTGGGCCCTCGAACAGAAGCAACTGAAGCAACTGCTCGCTTTCCGTGCGTGAGTCCGTTGAGTCGCCGATGCTCTGGCTGCTTGTACTCTTTGGACTCCAGGTGCCAGAAGCCCCGAAGACATTGAAGACATGTTCTGCCACGGCACGGATTGCATCGGCCAGCTTCGTATGCGAATGGAACCTTCCCGGGGGTCGGGATGTGAAGTTTGATGAAACTAGGACTTTGGAAAGCCTGCGTGACCTTCAATTTCAACATTTGGGCTTTGAACGAAAACAGGTGCAACGGTACACCAAAAGAGCCCAGCCTGTCGCCGTTGACTGCGATGATGCCATCAGGGCCGTTGGGGCCGTCAGGGCCGGTTCCGTGATTGGCCGTGCCTCGTTGGTGCGCCCATAGAATGCTTTGTACATGGTGGAGTGTAGCACGAGCTCCCGAAGCTCCGCATAGGTCGTAGAGAAACACATCCAGCGCCACTTTGTCCCCAAGGACCTTTAAGCTGCTTGACCTCTGCAAGTCAGCGACCACGCTGGCAAAATCATCACCCACACCGCATCCCCAAGTAATGATCTCCCACCGCCGTTGATCAAGTGCAGGCGATGCTGGCATGGACCATGGAATTATCCTACAGGCTGTCTCAAGGCTTTGAGTCGAAGTCGAAGACGTCTCCGTGGAATCATCTGATTCTTCAAAGCAATAGTTCACATCGAAATGGTCTTGGCCTTGGACCAAAACATCATGGCAAGCCACGGGGAAGTTGATGTGTCTGCACGACGCCATAAGAGCCTTAGACAAGGTCATATGCGCCTGTTCCCCTGGCACAGAGTATCCCTCCACTGCTCGCAGCCAAAATGCAGGAGCATACAGGCCCTGCTTCTGCATTCCCAGTGTTACGTAGTGCTCTAGGACGACGTACGATTGCTGGCCACGAAGGAAAAAGCCAGGAGGATGCCACATATGCACCGGCAAGCAGGATACTTCTGCAAAACTGTGGCTCCACGCTTTCTCCCGAATCTCGCTTCCAAATGGGAACAACAGCCTGTGCTGAGCTGATCGCGGAGTTCTGTCGCAGATCTGTGGACTAGGTGGTGTGTGTAGGGGTTGTTGTTGGGCACTGAATGGATGAGGACCCAGCCTGGGAAGTGCAGATCTGATGCCGTCCATGAGCAAACTGAATGCATCTCGCCTCCCTCCTTCGAAATCATAACCCAGATGATTTCGCACTCTTGCTATGTGCCGCTGCTTCATGCTGATTTCCTCATCACTCAGCTGCAGGCATGTCTCAACGAAGCCTGGGGATGACAGAAAGGTGTCAGGCACTTCCACCACCAGCTGTCGCCAATTCAACTCCCAAGCAAACGGAAGACTCCACTCTACAGGTGGCCCATTCTGTCGCCACCAACTGACACCACTGCCCCAATCGGTTTTAAAGGTCACAACAACAGGAATGCAGCCTGATCGCAGGGCATCGAAGAAGCGTATGAGACCCGCTGTGTTCTCAGCTGGTAGCGCAGGGCAGAAAACCGCACGTTGCATTTCTGCGATGCACTTTTTCATTCCAGGCCGCCCATAGCTGGAGTTACCTCTCTCGAGGTCACCATAAACTTGGATGCTCCCTGTCAACTTGGCTTTCGATGACCCTTCCACCTCCAGCTTTCCAAACTTGATGAGCTGCCGCTGGACTTCATACCTCACCGCGTTGTTGGGAGTCTGCGCAAGCCAAAAAAGGATGTCCCTTTGCCGCAACTGAGCTTCCGAAGTCGCGGTGTGTTTGGGCAGCAGGTTGGGCTCGGAGGTGGCAGATGGAACTAAGAAGTGCCCAGGCCGATGTCCCCAGTTAGCACCTTCGGAAACAAGGAAATGCTGAGCTTGCAACACATTCGGTAGACTCGTCACAGGGCAAGAGCCCAGAAAAAGATGTCGATGCCTCGTTGACGGCCCAAAATACGTCAGATGATGGAAGAGCTCAAGGCTCAATGTTGAAGCAGGACACAGGGAGCTCATGTGACTGGACAGGCGGCAATCCGTCGCTGCTAGATATGGGACCACCTTTGGCACAAAGCTTCAAATTATGTTTTTGAAGCAGCATGTTATAACTGATCTAACAGTCGCCTATACTTTTTGAAAGCTTGCCAAAGGCGAGAAACAAAGAAGTCTGCATCGTGGGCATCCAAGACCCTCGCAGAGCTGGCCAGCAATTTCCGAAGAATGATGACCTCAGCACCCCATTGTCGTGCAACAGAATACGCGCCCGACCACCCTTCTTCCGAACACGGCGACCGCATAAAGTCGCAATTGCTGTTCATGTTCTCTCCCTGACTTTCCATTGTGTCTAACAGGTTCGCATGGAACTTCGGCGGGAGCGGGTAGATGAAGAACTTCAACCCATCAAAATCACTCAAGCGCACTCGAGGAAGGTTTTCGCCAAGCAAACCCCAGCTGACCGCCCATGATTCCACGAGAAAGGCGGCAGCAAGGCAACTCCACAGAGCCGGCACCATGGCATGCAGACGAACAACTTCACGCAGCCACAAGGCCTGTTACAAGTGGTGGCCAACTTGCATTAGACAAAAAGCAGGATCCTAAATTGAATGTTGCTGCACCACGCATGTTGTTTTGACAAACTAAGCTCGATGCACGGCAGCTGCATGTGAAACAGCGTAACAACATCTAAGACCTAGACCACAGACCGACTTCTTGAAATCTGACTGGATAACCAGCTTGCTGATGCCAAAAATCCACGGCGAAACAAACCGGAAACGACAAAAACAGCATAATCCAAAGACAGACACAAGGCTGTCAGATGAATTGTTCTTTCGAAGGCGTGGCTTATCCTCTGTTGTCAAAGCGTGGCTCTCATGCTTGAAAATTGTGCTATAGGCTGTGTACGGCGCCCGATTGGTTTCAACACAACTTCCTGTTTCGCCGCGGCCCTTCCAATTGCACGATGACCCCGGCAGTTGAAAAAACGGGGGCATGGGGTGCCGCACATGTCCTTTGCAAGTGAGGTCGAGGGTGTAATTTGGGACATGACAAAAAAAGTCGGGGGCACACAGCCCGCCCCCATTGTTCATGATTTGACGATAAGGGGCCCACACCTCTTCTTCATGTCGAGATTAAGGCTGCAGTCCCACACCAATCGAAGCAGAAGCGTAACAAACAGGATGGGGCGAGGAGACCCTCACGCCCCTTTGCACAACAAAAAGCAACGCACAGCCGTTGCATGTCGGGGTTGGAAAAGGATTCGCCTGTTTTGCTGATTGCAAGCAAGTCCTCTTTATGGCAGGGTCTTCTCTACACATTTACAGTACATGTAGAGCAAGCGTGCAAGGGTTTAAAAACCGGAGGGGGGCGGGGGGGGGGGGCGGGGAGAGGAGCCCCCCCAGTTTGTAATCGCACGTCCTCTAAATGGCATCAGCTTTTTGTTTACACAGCAAACTTGCAAAGGCTTCAAAATTTGAAAAACCGGGGGGTGGGGGTGGCACAAATTTCAACGCGCTCAGAATGCGCAGCATGGGAGAACACAGGGTGACTTGTCGATTCAAAACGGTGCTGGCAATGGCTGAGCGGTGCGGCGGGCCCACCCCCCCCAATGGCTCTCCGCCCCCCCCTGCGGTGTGGTTGTGGGTTGGTTTGTAGCGTTTAGGGTCTTAGGGTTTAGGGTGTAGGGTTGAGGATTAAGGTTTAGGGTTTCGGGTTTAGGGTTTCGGGTTTAGGGTTTGGGGTTTAGGGTTTAGAGTTCCCCCACCCTTGCGGTGTGGTTGTGTGCTGGTTTTGGGGCTTAGGGTTTTAGGGTGTAGGGTTAGGGTTTAGGGTTTAGTCTAGGGTGTAGGGATTTTTTTTGCCGCCCTTCTAGCCATGCTCGGCGGCGAAGGGGGGGGGGAGAGGAACAGAAGTTGGTGGAGTGCTGCGCGTAAATCAAGGCTCACTGCAGGAAAGTTTGGGGTTTGAGCTTGATGTTTGTTTGATGCGTGGGCCTGCAGTTTCCACCGCAAGCTTGCCGGCACTGAAGGCACGGCCTTTCCTTTGCCCTTGCCCTGGCCCTGGCCTTTGGCCTTGCCAGTGCCCTTGCCCTTGCTCTTGCCTTGCGGCCAGGACATGTTTTGCGCACCGGTTTTGCGGCACACGGAGATTGCGGCTCTAGGCTGATTTGGTCGTCGCTGTAAACCGACTCCCCTGAGCTCGCAGCGGTCAGCAACGAAGAGCAACAAACCCCTTGCAAAAAAAACGCAGTCAAAATTTGCCGAGATGCGTGGCGGGAACAATCTCGCCCAGGGCACACGATGATCTATCTATCGAGCGCACATGTAAACATGGAGTGACGAGCTGCGTATCGGCAGAACGGATCGAAACATGGACAAGCCCATCCAAACAATCACAAGGAGAAGACCATGCGTCCCAAGCTCGAACTCCTTGACCTGCACTGGTCTTCTTGTTGCACGCTTTTGCTTGAGCCTCCACGGTAACCTCTTCCAAGATCGCATCCCAGTCAGGATCGGCCTGTAGACATCAGCTTGGCGCGCACCTCGTCATCACATCGTGCGCTAGATGGCACCTGGTCGCTGGGGTTAGCGCCTGCGTTGAACATATCGCCGATGAAGTGAGCCAGACATTCGCACGCAGAGGTTGATGAAGACGGCGGCGGCTGAGCCTCAGAGCCAGCGACGGTACCGGGAATCGACGCATTGCGGCGGTCCGTCGGAGCCCCTCGTTCACTTGAGCAAGAAGCCGGCTGCAAAACCGACACCAAACTCACGCACTGATTGCAAGGCAACACGTGGGCGGAGCCATACGGGCGGGATGTGGCAGTTGCAGGTCTCAAGCACCTCACTCGCTGCTATCGCATTCACATCCAGCTTTTTCGCAGCACTTTCTTCCTTCTCTCTCTCTCTCTCTCTCTCTCTCTCTCTCTCTCTCTCTCTCTCTCTCTCTCTCTCTCTCTCTCTCTCTCTCTCTCCACACGCTTGGCCCCCCCCGAGGGAGAGCCCCAAGGGCGCGGGTTTTCACGGTCTGTCGGTGTGCCATATATCGAGATAAGGCGCGGATCTTCCTCAAACAAGGCTGCAAATCACACCTAGGTCCAGGGTAACACACGTTGCAGTATGGAGATGTCGCCGAAAAGGACGTGAGGGAAAAACGCGCAAGAACAGAGTGGATCGAAAGGATCCCGTCCCCACCGGTAAGGATTGGCCTTGGGCTACATGCAGGGAGGCATCTCCAATGGGTTTCTCTCACACATACACACAAACCCGCACAACATGACAATCGGAACTGATTTGACGGCAGCACTGCACATGACTGGGGGGATGAGACCTCGGCGTCGCGAACCCGAGGCTTTTTTGCGGCGAGTTCCTTTTCGCACTAAAGGCACAAAGGCACAGAGGCACGAACGCGCGCTCTCCACGCACCAGCACGCACCAACAAACAACAAAACACACTGAACGTGGGCGACCGTAAACCATACGGAAGGATGTTATTGTTTAGACCGTTTAAACAGTCCAAATTTTTAGCCTGCTTTACCCGTCCTGGGGTCTGCCTCCAAAAATTGGTCCGATCACCGCGCGCACTAGGGTAACAAAGACGGGGGGTTCCACGAGCCCCCCCTTGATGTAAACAGAGCTTAGGCCTAAGGCCTTTTCCAGGCTCTTTTGGACCTTTTGGACATTTTGGCTTTAGAGCTTCGTGTTTTTGGAGTCTTTGAAGCATTTGGAGCCACTTTTAGGTTTAGGATGAGGCCTCAGGGATGCGCATGCTCCTCCTTTGCCCCCCCTCCCCCCCCCGGCTCGGCCAAGCAACACTGGCGACTGGTCTGCGCCATCCTTGTGCCACAACAGCACAAGCCGGCGAACATGGCAGCACACATGTCGAGGCAGCCCAAACGCGCACTACACACAGTGCCCGCCTGAGAACATAGTGGGCCTGTGGTGCCTGAGCATGGGGTTTAGGCTGGCGCTACGGCGTGCTTCGAACTATATGCCCTTCCACGCATGGGAAAGTTGGCCACCTCTGCCGGCGGCTGTGGCATAACTGCCGCATTCATCCCAAAAAAAGGATTGACTGCAGCAGCATTCTTGGCGGCCAGCCGTTGGGAGCACGATGCCTGCCAGAACAAGATGCACTCACAAATGCTCACAACAACTAAATACTCAAGAAATCAGCTTGGCACTGTCAGAAACTTGCAAAAACCCAGGAGGTGGCGCCCTCGCTGTGGGCTGGGGCCGCGCGCCTGTTGTGGCTTGTGCCGGGGCTCCCTGTCCTCGCAGCGCACGCATGGGTATCCGGTTATCCGGGCGCCACAAGTGTTATGACACCAGACGCTGCTGAAGCTACGCGTCGGGAAAATTGAGCTGGGCGGCCTGGCTGACAGAATAACATCATAGTAGGGGAGGGGTGGGGGGTGGGGAGGGGGAAGAGTAGCGGGAGGAGGGAGGGGGGAAACAACGTCACTTATATGGTATTTAAGGCGTCGTGCGCAACATAGCGCACAAGGATGTGGAACAAACACGCTGGCACAAGCGCCCAAGACGCCGGTACTTACAATGCTTGTTGCTTCTTTGCACAACATATGGCACAAGGATTGTTATTTGGACTAAGACACACTGTCGCGAGCGTTCATATCTTTGGCGAACATGCACAACAAAAGCGCACTTGCAGCATGTTCGCCTCTGTGCGCAAAATGCTGCATAAGGACGTTCAAACTTTCTGGAACAAGACGTGCTGTCACAAGCATTCATGCCTTTCGCGAAAGAGGCACCAAAAAAACTCGACGCTAGTCGCGCGGGCAATCGGCAATCGTTTTCGGGATGCCCAGACAGAAGCGCCGTGCGTGCGACTTGCATCACTCATCGTCACTCTCTCCTTCAAGAACCCCCCCCCCAAGCCTCTCAAACTCTCAAGCTGTCACTTGCACCAAGGACAGGACAAACCCCAAGCCCGAAACCCGTCAACCTATATATACCTACACCAACCTCATAAACCTTAAGGCATCAACTCTAAAACCCTCAACCCGGACCCTTCAACCCCCAAACTCAATCGCAAAACCCGAAGCATCCCGAAGCCCTCAAACCTTAAAGCCTTAAAGCCCTACAATCCTCTGAAGGCTTAAGCCCGAAGTCACAAAACCCTGGTAAGCCCTCACTCGCCCCTCAAAACCCTCGAGCCTTAAACCGAGCTAACAAGCCTTAAACCCGTTTTTCCTCCACTCCCAAGGCTCCAGCCCAGTAGAATCGGCATTGGCCTAACGTGAATCCAGGCCGTCAAAACTCCTGCAGAAGGTTCTGACCCCTTACAGGTGCCTTGCGCGGCCAGTTGGATTGTTAAGCACCACGATTCCCAGATAACTATGGACACTCTGGATGCGTTCTGCTAGTTCTGCAAGAACCGTCGGTGACTAACACGAACAATCCCAACCATTCGAACCTCACCACTCTGGGGAAGCCGAACATGGAAGGCGTCAGCGCGTGCATGCTTCGCCGCACATCCAAGTCTATCAAGTCTTCTGCTATGTTAAACATGAATCATCCTTGCACTCAAGAACCCAGCTGGGCACCCCGGTGCTGTTCTTGTTTGGCGTTTCGTGCGTTTCCCATCCGGCTCCTCATCAATTCGAGGGCAAATGTAAGCTCTGTGTGTGAGGGCCGGGTCCAGCCCGTCACCCAGTCAGGGCGCCCCGCATCCGTCTCCACCCGCAAACTCGGAGAACATGGATGAAGTATCAAAACGACTTCAAAAAGACAAAAGCTGAGTCAATTGAAGCTTTTGCAACGCATTCTGGGGTGGATATCGGCGGAACTGCCGGGCGCATGGGCACAGTTTTCCGGAAAATAATTGCATGAACATTTTCCCTGAAAACTGCCCTGGGCTGGGAACTTTCCGAAGCCTTCTGGTTCACCTTCAACGGCCTCAAACTTCTTCCGAGACCCTCCCAGACCCTCACGGACACCTTGCAGAACCTTCAACAGCCTTAAGCTTCCTCCGACACCTTAGAAGCTGTTTCCCACGTCAACGAAAAAGTAGCAGGGGCTGATTTCCAGGATAGTGAAGGTGGTATTTCGGTTTGACCCAATGGGAAAAGAAATACAACCTATGATGGGTGAATTCCATTATGAGATTGATTTGTGGATGCATCCGCAGTGCGCACGGCTCAAAGAGCTGTTTGAGCACACCAAGTAGACAACAACCTTGTGTAGCAGCCCCACACCTTGTACAGTTTTCCCGAACCTGCACTCTGCCTGGACTACTTGAAGCTTTCCAAAACGGGAACCTTGAGCGCAGGGAGCTACAGGGTGAGTTGGAGCGATTGAGGGAAAGGTATATCATTCTAACGGGCAACCGGGGTGAGTACCTGGAACTTAGATCGTTCACCCCTCTGGGGTCGCCCCTCAAAGTCTACCTCGTGAAAATTGCAACTCACGGGCGGTACTTCGTTGTAAAGGTTTGGCCACCTGAGCAACCCGTTGTAGGGTAACTACTATCTGGATTACAACAGCTACACCTTCATTGTATGTATTCAGCCAGTTCTTCTACTCGGTCCTGAGCACTACCTGGATAGGCGCTGCGGGCAACAATTTTACAGTGAAAATATTATTCAGTCAAGATCTTCGTGGAGAGAATGGCGGTACCACCAGATCGGCTGCAGAGGTGGTGATGATGCATTGATTCATGGGGGTTTGTTTGAAAACGAAACTAGAGCAATACAGGACATCAGACTAATGGAGCACATGTTGAGAGCGGCGGAGTCGACTCGACGTTGGAGTTGTCGAACCTCTAGGACATCGCCGGGAGGTATGAGAAACATTGAGTGGGGAGATGGAAACAATCTGAGCCCAGATGACGATCAAGCAGGTGAAAGTATGAGATCCATGTTGGACACGGGAAGATCAGGAGACATAGCTGGGAGCTTGACAGTCTCGTCGGCATCTTCAGAACGAGAACAGAGTTTTATGGATGATCATCAGAGCGGAGTACCAGCGATTGAGAACGGCCTGGGAATGGATAGAATGGATGATCAATCTGGTGGACTGTGGGGTCATGTAATTTCATCGGAGAATAGAAGACTAGAACGGGATCTAGCAATCCTGGACGGACCACTCTTCGGCGAGACGGAGATCAACGAAAACCACGCGGTAGCAACTGCGATGGATGAAATGAATCCATCCCTGATTCATTCTCGTCTACTGGACTGGATGAGGAGCCAGCTAGGGAAATTACACGGGAAAATACGAATGTCAAGGATCCGATATCGAGCTTCAGCAAGATCGGAAAGGATGCATGTTTCGAGCAAGCATAGCACGGCTCATAACAAGGTCCCAAACAAACCTAACCAAGCGGCGGGGTCGGGGGCTGCAGCCCGCCTCCCACCATTTGCAAACACAATGCTTGCATGATGTAAAAGACAGCCCCCGTTTGCAGATACAATGTTCGCGTCATGGGGGTAGGAAACTTTCTCCCCAAATGTCGTGCATTTTTGTTTACACTAATAAGCCTCATAAGCTGTACGCTTCCTACATCCTTTAGTGCGCAGGTCCAGGCTGGACTTTGTATGAGGAGCCCAGCGTTGAGAGAAACCCCAGGCAGTGAGCCCAAAGTCCCTTCACACACAGGACTTGGAGGTTCATGGTACTTATTCACCGAAGTATGACCGCAGTTATCACTGTCATCACCAGATGTAAACCCTAAACCCTCAGGCTTAAACTATACCTATCGGGGCAGTGCAGGGGCTCATGAGTGGGTCGGGTTAGAAGTTTCCTTGGCGACCCCAGGACCCCCCAAAAGGCCCCAGACTTAGAAGGTTTAGGGTTCAGGGTTTAGGTTTGGGTGGGGGGGGGGTTCGGTTTCGGTCTGTTCGGTTTCGTGGCTCTTTGAGTTCGAGGTTTGGGGTTTGGGGACTTGGGGGGTTGGAGTGCCTCCTTCGTGCTCGGTTGGCTGCATTGGGAGGTCAGCATCCAGCCTTCAACCCACTTCAAAACCCGAACTAAACCTCAAAATGCGATCCAGGCAGGCGGGGATCGTAGCAAAAGGCTACCCGAAGTGGGGAAGACTTTGGGCCTTAAACTAAGAACTAAGAACTAAGAACTAAGAACTAAGAACTAAGAACTAAGAACTAAGAACGAGGAACGAAGAACGCAGAACGAAGAACGAAGAACGAAGAACGAAGAACGAAGAACGAAGAACGAAGAACGAAGAACGAAGAACGAAGAACTAAGAACTAAGAACTAAGACTGCCAGGGACTCCTGGTCTTAGTTCTTAGTTCCTAGTACCGCGCTTATTGAAATTCAACATATCAAGAAGGGATTCAATAAGAGGTACCCCAGGAACTAAGAATACAGACCAAGAGCGTCTGACGTTCTTAGTTCTTAGTTCTGAATTCTTAGTTCTTAGTTCTTAGTTCTTAGTTCTTAGTTCTTAGTTCTTAGTTCTTAGTTCTTAGTTCTTAGTTCTTAGTTCTTAGTTCTTAGTTCTTAGTTCTTAGTTCCAGCCTTATTGAAATTCAATATTTCAATAAGGGTTTCAATAAAAGGTAACCCAAGAACTAAGAATCCAGACCAAGAGTGTCTGACAATCTTAGTTCTTATTTCTTAGTTCCAGTCTTATTGACATTCAACATTTCAAAAAGGGTTTCAATAAGAGGTAACCCAAGAACTAAGAATCAAGCCCAAGAGTGTTCTTAGTTCTTAGTTCCACCCTTATTGACATTCAATAGGTTTAAAGGTTTCGGGTGTAAGGTCTAGGTATTTGAAACTACGCCGGCAAGTAAACCTGCACCCTGAACGTTAAAGCCCTGGGGTTAAGGGGGTTAAGGTTTAGAGGTTAAGGGTTTCAGATTTAAGCAGTCAAACCTAAGGCCATGGAGTCTTTTCCAGAAGTGTTTAAGGCTTAGGCGGTTCAGAACCCGAAAACCGCGTAGGGCTCGAAAAGGTTCAAAAGTGTTAAGCCTATAGGCGCTGATGGTATATTTGCCCAGACCTTAGGTTGTTTAACCATTTAGCCCTATAGGGCTGGGCTAAAGGTTTAGGGTTTTTCAGGGTGTATCTAAAACCCTCACGGGCTTAGCCCCCTAGGGTGTAGATTCTACAGGGTAAAAGGTCTAGGGTTCAAGATTCAGGCATTGCCTGTAGAATTAGAACCTTACGACCATCTAGGGAAGCCCTAAACCCTAAACCCTATTCTTGTTTTTACTCATAAATAAGACATAAACACCTGGATCTTTGGGGGGGGGGTGTAGTATATATATATATATAAAAGACATGTAGGTATCTTGGCAGGATGACGAAGGAGTGGTTTTACCACGAAGGCCTTGGCGAAGGAGGAACCGCCTGGGTGTGCCTTGGCCTTATGAGTCCGTAGGGCTGTAGCCTAAACTCTAAAAGGTTTCGGGTAATGGCTAAGGGCGTCAGGTTCATGTACAGCCTTGCCGTCCCGAATTATTGGAAATTAAAATTTACTGAGTCCCTCCGTTCAGAATAACAAGTTTTGTACAGGATTGACAGGGGGTTTAGGGCTTAGGGTTGAGGAGAGTTGATGAGAGGATTAAGGAGACTGTAGGGAATACCGGGGTGCTGACCGATGAAGACTTGGTTGGCATACAGTAGCATACATGAAGAGATTTATGGGCAAAGCTATGAAAGAACACTACAAAGAGTTGAAAACGACCGGAAGAGATGGACGAGCGTGGGACTGCAGGGAAATGATGCTTTCGAGGCACCGAGAACACTGAAAAGGAAGTCGGGTGAAAGTGGTAAGACTGGAAGTAAAAGGCCGACCATCGGTGCACATGGCCGGGATCCTTACGCCTGAGACGGACGAAATAACATCAGCGAGCCCGCATTCCCCGAAACTCCTGAACCCGCTATGACCATGGACCTGGAGGTTGGGCTGAGGCAGTGCATCGTTTCTTGCTTGGAATTCCACCGCCTGGTAGGCATGCCGGTTCTAGAGCGCGCAGGTTCGAGTCCATCGAAGCAGGGAAAGGACATTGATCGTGAAAACAATGTGCTCGAAAACAAAACTGACGATGTGCAGACCGTGGTTCTCGAGGCCAAGAGCGTGGCCGAGTCCGCACTGGAAACATCGAAGGGATGCCAAATGGGAGCGCTGACAGAAGATGTGAGGTTAGTGAAAGAAGATATGAAGCAGATTTCAAACCAGGTGAATGGCATACAGGACGAAATGGCGTGA